ATTTGGTTATAAGGCACAAGTATCCTTTAAATGGGGAGATTATTTGTGTGGGCCTCACCTAATCACATAAAGTACGTACAATAGAAAACAAGCAAAGAAATAATGTCTAACATATTTTCAAATTTCAGAAAAAAACTATTAACTGAAAGAACCAAGAGACTAAGCAAAACCCAAGTATTAGAAACATGAAGAAAACTATCCTAGTGCATATTTTAAGTTGCTCAAAACTTGTGCTAATGCAAAAAAAAAAAAAAACAAACAAAAAAAAAACAAAAACAAACAAACAAAAAAAACCAAAAACCTTAAATGCAGCCACAGAAGACCCACTCACCTACATTAGGGAGTCAAATACAAAATCTTCCTGAATCTTTCAAATAAAATATGAGGTTGCAAATAAATACCAGGATTGATTTAGACTATTTTCTTTACCCATCAGACTGCACCAATTCTATCTTTAGGGTGTACTATAAAAAAAGACTTTAGTAATTACCTCGTTTGAATATCTTATAGATCTATTGAAGGGAAATATAATTACCATTTTGTAAAAAATTTAGAAACTGAGCTCTATTTGAACATATTTACTCATATGTTAAAATAAATAGTACCAAGAAGGGCAATTATACAATATTCCATGTGAAAGAATATGCTTCCTTTTTTTCTTTCTCTTGCCTTTTCTAAATGTGGAATCATGTTTCCTCTGAATTCCAAAAATAAATAAATAAATAAAAATTGGTTTTGGATAAAGACACAAAGGATAGAATTGATTATATATATATATAAAATATATAATTCATATTTAATGAAATATGTATTTCAAATTACTGATATACTAAGCTGACTTGGAAACTGCTGGGACTTAACTGGCATAGATAAGTGGATAAAGAGAGAATATTAACATTAGGCAAAGCCAGAGAGATAAGAGGTTGACTACCAAGCTAAGGTTATCAGTGGTATCATGTCTTCCTAAGGAACATCATAAGCACAAGTTTGAATTGGACTGATTTTCTGTAATATTGACTTCAAGTATTGGTTGAAAATAAGAAATAGTTTCCAGCCTTTTGGGGGTAAGGCATTACTAAGAGCATCAGCTAATCACATTGGAGTTGAGAGCACAGCTCCAATGGGTGATAAGAAGCTGAAGATGAAACTCACAGTGAAGGCTGGGAATGTACAGGCAAGCACTGTGGTTCCAGCATACTCTGAGTTCTCATCATCTCACCCATGCTCTAGGTATATTGCAACAAAACAAGTTGTCAGCTCCATTATTGTGGGGTTAAAACTTTCTACTTTGATCTGCATTCACTGAACAACTTAGGCTGAGCCTGGCTCTGTGGATAACGTCGTCATTACAAGAAATGTAATGACCACCATCAGCTGGCAATTGGGAGATGAATAATATAGGAGAAAAGAAGAGATTCTTGCTTTTACTAATCAATTATTTTTTAGTTCCCAAATATTCCTTTCTTAGAGAAAAAGGGGAAAGTTTAGACATGGTAAACACTGAGAAAAGTCAGACTAAATATTTTTAGAATATCCATTTATTTCTTATTATCACAAAATTTTTAGAATATCCATTTATTTCTTATTATCACAATTCAAGGAAATGATGTACCACTTTTTCACTTTTGAGAGAGAAACCGTTAATAAAATTGATCGTTAATGCTGAAGACTGTCATGAATTAGTCACTAGATAGAGGCATGTTTAAATTGCAAATTACTTTGAAAGTCATTAACCACCCCAAACTTAATAAAGTGAAATCTTCACACTATTAAAGAGAGTAACAGATGTTGTTTTTAATGTTTAATGAAAAATATTTATCTGCTGCTATAATCCAGTCCCGTCTCCCTGACCCCCGTCTTTTTTTTTCCTGCTCTCCAGTTAGGTTTGTTATGTTTCATTTGAAAGCTCTTTTGCAAGATGATGAGTGCATTATTTTTTTACAATTGTGAAGGCTCAATCTTAGATAAATGTTATTTATAAAGGAGTTCTGCATACTGCATATTTGAGAGCAAGAGTCAGTTTCTAGAAATCTGTGTGAGTAAAATGGAGAGAAGGCATTTTTTTTTTTGTCTCCAGCCAATATGGCAGATGAGGATATGTAACCACAGAAAAGCATTCTAATTGGTGCAGCTTCAAGCCTTGAAAGATACTGCATGGTAACTGTGCTTTCTCTTAGATGATCTTTTTTTCCTTCTTGGATTATTTAAGGGGGACTAATTTTTTGAAACCCTAGGCAACAAGATCACAAGCAGTAAACAAAGTTTGTATCAAGAAAATAATGGTATTTCAATGTTAGGGAAAAACAATATCATAGCCAGGAGGGAAGCAATCAGAACTTACACTGCTGCAATCTGGAAGCTTCTCCTCAGGACCTGTTTACCGCTGGTTCACTGTTCTCCCAAGCAGTATAATGTGCCAAACAAGTGGCAGGTGGGAAAGTTATGTAAAAAACTGTCTCCATGACTTCGTTGACTGCTGACATACAAAAAGAAATTGTAGAGACATTGAGCCTTCTGAAATAAAAAATGAAAATTAGGGTAATCCCCTCAACCAAGAGACGGAACTGGTCTCTATCTAAACAGACCTAAAGTGAATAATATTGTCTAGTGTGGATAGAGCTCCTTCTGATTAAAAAATGTGTCACAGCTTCCTTAATTTTGTGTAATAGTATGAAAAATATATCCTTGATTTCACCTTCTAGACTTGCAACTTTCTCCTAATTCTTTGCGTTCCAGGTTCAAGGAAGAAAAACAGCAATCATGAAGAGAGAGAAAGAGCAGCATAACAGATCATTACATTTATAGTAATGATTTGATTCTCAGAGCCAGGCTTAGCCCAAGTTGTTTAATGAATGCAAATCAAGGTAGAAGATTTCAGCCCCAGCATGAGTGGAGTTGATAATTCGTTTTGTTGCAATATAGTTACAGGATATATATATTAGTCTCCCTGGAACATTCACTCCCATAAGAAAGGAACCATTTTTTCCCATCTATTAGGCAAATCTTGCAGATTGAAATATTAAACAATTAAAGTTTATTGTTACGTTATACTGTGATGAAGTACCACGAGTAATCTTATCCTTGACCATAGATTAAAAGATCATAGCCTTCTGAGGAACTGCAAAATGACCTCTAAAATTGTGTGGAATATAAAGGCATTGCAGTCTAAAATAACTATAAGTATCATTCCATTGTACAAATATTTACAGACTATGGTACCTAATATAGGCCAGGAGCTATGCCAAGTACTTTAGAGGGAAACACAAAGACGGCAAGCATAGCCCCTGACTTAAGGAAACTTCATGTTTAAGAGAAAGAGTAGACAAGTATACAAACTGTAATAGGCAGCAAGAAAAAGTTCATTTAGGCCGGGCGCGGTGGCTCATGCCTGTAATCCCAGCACTTTGGGAGGCTGAGGCGGGCAGATCACGAGGTCAGGAGTTTGAGACCAGCCTGGCCAACATGGTGAAACCCCGTCTCTACTAAAAAAATACAAAAATTAGCCGAGCCTGGTGGCGTGTGCCTGTAAACCCAGCTACTCAGGAGGCTGAGGCAGGAGAATTGCTTGAACCTGGGAGGTGGAGGTTGCAGTGAGCCAAGATCATACCACTGCACTTCAGCCTGGGTGACAGAGCAAGACTCCGTCTCAAAAAAAAAAAAAAAAAAAAGTTCATTTAGAGATAATCAAAGATGTAAGGATGTTCAGATCAGGAGCTCTTAAGTTCAGAGAAATATTACATGGGCTTTGTGGATTGAACTTGGTTTCTCCAGGGAAGAGAAAATGTAGATGATCCAAGCTGGGGGAACAAAATGAACCAAAGCATCAAATTTGAAGTATTAGGATATTTGGAGTTGGCAAATTGTTCATTGACTTGTGGAGTATGCTGTTTGGGATGGCAAATATGAGAGCTGTTGACAAGAAAATCGTCCTGCCATGTATTTCTTCTATATATTACATTCATGACCTGTGTGTTTATTTATTTTGAACTCTTTCAAATGAAAGATGACATATGAATAGCCATTCTCTGTAACTTGGTAAAATGTCCCCAAAGTGATAAAATCCTAGTAACCAGCATCTAGATCTAAGAATCATAGTACCATCATCCAGAAGCCCCCCAACCTCCATAGCCTCTTTTAGTCACACCTCTCCCATAAAAATCATTATCCATTTTTATATGTACCATTGTATCACAGTAGTTTTTTTGTTTAGAACTTAATATAAATAAAATATTAGATAAACTTGTGTTTGACTTCTTTTACTGAAGATCTGTGTTTAGTGTAACTATAGCTTCTTCTTTTTATTGTTTATTAGTATTCAATTGTATAGAATTGTAAGAATGATCTATTGCTGATGAACATTTGGTTTTTTAATTTGTTTTAATCTTAACTTTTCAATCAAATAAATGTGTTAAAAACAACTCAATTTCAAAATGGTTAAATGAACGCAGTGACTGATTAACTTAAATGTATACATAATCACCTACATACCATATTCAAGTATGAACAATAATCAGCAATTTTCCTTATTAGTGATGAGTCATAACTCCAATTTGAGGACTGGGAAGTAATTGGGTCACTTCTGTGTCCTGTTTATCTCTTCTGTGGTCACCTGACTAGCTCAGTTGGTAAAGCCTGAGACTCGTAACCCCTTCTAGTTTGCTTCATACTCTAGTCTGTGTTGACCTCTTTGAATTCTGCATTGTCATTCCTGATTGGAAAGGTCCTCAGATGCATTATAAACATTGTATTCTTGTATTAGAGGATGTTTTGCCTCAACTGCAAAACATCAGGTATTTCTACTATGTTATGTAAACAAACAACCAAAAAAACTCCTTGCACGCATTTTGTTTTCCAATTCCAGAATAACTCTGTTGAAAATTTACCTCACTCGCTCTGATGAAGGAGAGTGTTATCTTTCTCTTGAGAAAGCTCTGTGTTTTGAGAAGGAACAACTAACTTTCAGATTGCCATCTGGAAGGTTTCTCACTCAGGAAACTTACCCAAATTCCCCCTCTATTGTCCTCAAAAGGATCGTCCATCCATGGCTCTGTGATTCTTGCTGTGTCTTGCACTGTTAATGTTTTCCTGGGGGAAAGTAACATTTCTTAGGATCATAGGCAGCGATTCCCATCTCAGTTACCAATCATGATCATTACCTCCGTCAACCCCTGATACCTGCTTTTATAAATTTTGAGGGGAATAGAAAGGAAAGACCAAGAAAATGCAGAAAGTGGAGGGGAGTGCTTTCACCATGCATTGTATGTATCTTCAGAGATTCAGTAAGAGGATGAAAGGCTGCTGGGCAAGTGACTCCATGGGAGCTCCAAACCCTACTTGTACTTGACAAAAATGATTATTTAATTTTTTTTATTTTCAATTTTACAGATTAAAAAAAGGATGGCAGAGTGAGACACTTCCCTTTTTATTCATTCTTGCTACTTTGCAACTATGAGTTTCCGAGAAGTTATAAGGTTGACTTCATATCATCCATCCCAGTTACAATTCCACTGTGCATAAACACACTTAATGGATTATATAACTACTGTATTAAAAGATGTATTAATTCCTTGGGTGGGACTTGCAGTTGTTCTGGAACTTAAATGCACTAATAATATTTCCAATATAATATATGAATATATGTCCTCTGGGTATAGGACAAATATCTTAAGGAGAAACAGTGTTATCATTCTTAATACATACCAGAATTTTTTAAATGGAATTTTACTGTAATAAACAGCTTATTACAGAAAAACACTTTCTCTGAATATAATGTATCTTATTATAATGCTCAGTATAGCATCATGGTTTTTTTAATTATTTCCAAATAACATAGAAGAAGTTGGATTTAATCTAGTAAGAATTACAACACAATTTCTATAGTCAGTAGCTCAGTAATGAATTCATGTGAATTTGAATGTCCATTTCTGAGCTACTTACTTTAATTCTAAAAATGTTTATTGAGTGTTAAGTATATGACATGTGTCAGATAATGAAAGTATAAAGCAAATTAAGTCAATAATCCTGTATTTCAAGGAATTTATGGTATAACCTAGTAGACAGTAAAAAACATAAAATCATCATGGTGACATACATTTCATGATGGAGATACATAGCTTCCATGGGAAACCAGAGAGGAAGATTTTTGTTTCCTTGTTATTTATATATATATATGTGGGGTGTGTGTGTGTGTGTGTATTTTTACAGATATATGCTTATACAATCAAAGTTTTATGTGCAAAAGCCTGAGATGTATGGCTTTGGAAAACAGGATAAGTTTTAGGAAGTAAACATTGGAGGGGAGAGGCAGTCAAGAGATAAACTTGATCTTATTGATCTTCAGAGAAGTCCTAACTTTTAGACATTATTAACCATATTTCACAGAAGTCATGGTACTGATTCCTGGCCAAATCCGCTGTATACAAAAGCCTATTCAATCTTTTACTCTATACAACTGAGATATTAAATTGGAAGTTACTTATTTTAATAACATAATTTTTCTATATAATGCTTCACAATTCCAAAGCATCTTCACATAAATTGCCTTATTTTAAACTCATAACCACCTTGTGAAGCAGAAGGTAAGCATATTTATTCCCATTTACACATGAGGGAACAAAGGCTTAGTGTAATAAGAACTGGTGCAAGATTATCACACATTTATGGAGTAAAATCTAAGTCATTTTATTCCCAATTTTGCAAACTTTTATTCTCTGTTTCTTAGTGTCATAGTTACTATGATAAAATGGGCAGTCATGACTGCATATTTATTCTCACATACAATTTATAACATCTTATTTTAAGAGTATAATTAATAAAATTTTTTTTTAAATTTATTTATTATTATTATACTTTAAGTTGTAGGGTACATGTGCATAACGTGCAGGTTTGTTACATATGTATACTTGTGCCATGTTGGTGTGCTGCACCCATCAACTCGTCATTTACATCAGGTATAACTCCCAATGCAATCCCTCCCCCCTCCCCCCTCCCCATGATAGGCCCCGGTGTGTGATGTTCCCCTTCCTGAGTCCAAGTGATCTCATTGTTCAGTTCCCACCTATGAGTGAGAACATGCGGTGTTTGGTATTCTGTTCTTGTGATAGTTTGCTAAGAATGATGGTTTCCAGCTGCATCCATGTCCCTACAAAGGACATAAACTCATCCTTTTTGATGGCTGCATAGTATTCCATGGTGTATATGTGCCACATTTTCTTAATCCAATCTGTCACTGATGGACATTTGGGTTGATTCCAAGTCTTTGCTATTGTGAATAGTGCCGCAATAAACATACGTGTGCATGTGTCTTTATAGCAGCATAATTTATAATCCTTTGGGTATATACCTAGTAATGGGATGGCTGGGTCATATGGTACATCTAGTTCTAGATCCTTGAGGAATCGCCGTACTGTTTTCCATAATGGTTGAACTAGTTTACAATCCCACCAACAGTGTAAAAGTGTTCCTATTTCTCCACATCCTCTCCAGCACCTGTTGTTTCCTGACTTTTTAATGATTGCCATTCTAACTGGTGTGAGATGGTATCTCATTGTGGTTTTGATTTGCATTTCTCTGATGGCCAGTGATGATGAGCATTTTTTCATGTGTCTGTTGGCTGTATGTCTGTCTTCTTTTGAGAAATGTCTGTTCATATCCTTTGCCCACTTTTTGATGGGGTTGTTTGTTTTTTTCTTGTAAATTTGTTTGAGTTCTTTGTAGGTTCTGGATATTAGCCCTTTGTCAGATGTGTAGATTGCAAAAATTTTCTCCCATTCTGTAGGTTGCCTGTTCACTCTGATGGTAGTTTCTTTTGCTGTGCAGAAGCTCTTTAGTTTAATGAGATCCCATTTGTTAATTTTGGCTTTTGCTGCTGTTGCTTTTGGTGTTTTAGACATGAAGTCTTTGCCCATGCCTGTGTCCTGAATGGTACTACCTAGGTTTTCCTCTAGGATTTTTATGGTATTAGGTCTAACATTTAAGTCTCTAATCCATCTTGAATTAATTTTCGTATAAGGAGTAAGGAAAGGATCCAGTTTCAGCTTTCTACTTATGGCTAGCCAATTTTCCCAGCACCATTTATTAAATAGGGAATCCTTTCCCCATTTCTTGTTTCTCTCAGGTTTGTCAAAGATCAGATGGCTGTAGATGTGTGGTATTATTTCTGAGGACTCTGTTCTGTTCCATTGGTCTATATCTCTGTTTTGGTACCAGTACCATGCTGTTTTGGTTACTGTAGCCTTGTAGTATAGTTTGAAGTCAGGTAGCGTGATGCCTCCAGCTTTGTTCTTTTGACTTAGGATTGTCTTGGAGATGCGGGCTCTTTTTTGGTTCCATATGAACTTTAAAGCAGTTTTTTCCAATTCTGTGAAGAAACTCATTGGTAGCTTGTTGGGGATGGCATTGAATCTATAAATTACCTTGGGCAGTATGGCCATTTTCACGATATTGATTCTTCCTATCCATGAGCATGGTATGTTCTTCCATTTGTTTGTGTCCTCTTTGATTTCACTGAGCAGTGGTTTTTAGTTCTCCTTGAAGAGGTCCTTTACATCCCTTGTAAGTTGGATTCCTAGGTATTTTATTCTCTTTGAAGCAATTGTGAATGGAAGTTCATTCCTGATTTGGCTCTCTGTTTGTCTGTTACTGGTGTATAAGAATGCTTGTGATTTTTGCACATTAATTTTGTATCCTGAGACTTTGCTGAAGTTGCTTATCAGCTTAAGGAGATTTTGGGCTGAGACAATGGGGTTTTCTAAATATACAATCATGTCATCTGCAAACAGGGACAGTTTGACTTCTTCTTTTCCTAACTGAATACCCTTGATTTCTTTCTCTTGCCTAATTGCCCTAGCCAGAACTTCCAACACTATGTTGAATAGGAGTGGTGAGAGAGGGCATCCCTGTCTTGTGCCAGTTTTCAAAGGGAATGTTTCCAGTTTTTGCCCATTCAGTATGATATTGGCTGTGGGTTTGTCATAAATAGCTCTTATTATTTTGAGGTACGTTCCATCAATACCGAATTTATTGAGCGTTTTTAGCATGAAGGGCTGTTGAATTTTGTCAAAAGCCTTTTCTGCATCAATTGAGATAATCATGTGGTTCTTGTCTTTGGTTCTGTTTATATGCTGGATTATGTTTATTGATTTGCGAATGTTGAACCAGCCTTGCATCCCAGGGATGAAGCCCACTTGATCATGGTGGATAAGCTTTTTGATGTGTTGCTGAATCCGGTTTGCCAGTATTTTATTGAGGATTTTTGCATCGATGTTCATCAGGGATATTGGTCTAAAATTCTCTTTTTTTGTTGTGTCTCTGCCAGGCTTTGGTATCAGGATGATGTTGGCCTCATAAAATGAGTTAGGGAGGATTCCCTCTTTTTCTATTGATTGGAATAGTTTCAGAAGGAATGGTACCAACTCCTCCTTGTACCTCTGGTAGAATTCAGCTGTGAATCCATCTGGTCCTGGACTTTTTTTGGTTGGTAGGCTATTAATTATTGCCTCAATTTCAGAGCCTGCTATTGGTCTATTCAGGGATTCAACTTCTTCCTGGTTTAGTCTTGGGAGAGTGTAAGTGTCCAGGAAATTATCCATTTCTTCTAGATTTTCCAGTTTATTTGCGTAGAGGTGTTTATAGTATTCTCTGATGGTAGTTTGTATTTCTGCGGGGTCGGTGGTGATATCCCCTTTATCATTTTTAATTGCGTCGATTTGATTCTTCTCTCTTTTCTTCTTTATTAGTCTTGCTAGTGGTCTGTCAATTTTGTTGATCTTTTCAAAAAACCAACTCCTGGATTCATTGATTTTTTGGAGAGTCTTTTGTGTCTCTATCTCCTTGAGTTCTGCTCTGATCTTAGTTATTTCTTGCCTTCTTCTAGCTTTCGAATGTGTTTGCTCTTGCTTCTCTAGTTCTTTTAATTGCGATGTTAGAGTGTCAATTTTAGATCTTTCCTGCTTTCTCTTGTGGGCATTTAGTGCTATAAATTTCCCTCTACACACTGCTTTAAATGTGTCCCAGAGATTCTGGTATGTTGTATCTTTGTTCTCATTGGTTTCAAAGAACATCTTTATTTCTGCCTTCATTTTGTTATGTACCCAGTAGTCATTCAGGAGCAGGTTGTTCAGTTTCCATGTAGTTGAGTGGTTTTGATTGAGTTTCTTAGTCCTGAGTTCTAGTTTGATTGCACTGTGGTCTGAGAGACAGTTTGTTATAATTTCTGTTCTTGTACATTTGCTGAGGAGTGCTTTACTTCCAATTACGTGGTCAATTTTGGAGTAAGTACGATGTGGTGCTGAGAAGAATGTATATTCTGTTGATTTGGGGTGGAGAGTTCTATAGATGTCTATTAGGTCTGCTTGCTGCAGAGATGAGTTCAATTCCTGGATATCCTTGTTAACTTTCTGTCTTGTTGATCTGTCTAATGTTGACAGTGGAGTGTTGAAGTCTCCCATTATTATTGTATGGGAGTCTAAGTCTCTTTGTAAGTCTCTAAGGACTTGCTTGATGAATCTGGGTTCTCCTGTATTGGGTGCATATATATTTAGGATAGTTAGCTCTTCCTGTTGAATTGATCCCTTTACCATTATGTAATGGCCTTCTTTGTCTCTTTTGATCTTTGATGGTTTAAAGTCTGTTTTATCAGAGACTAGTATTGCAACCCCCGCTTTTTTTTGTTCTCCATTTGCTTGGTAAATCTTCCTCCATCCCTTTATTTTGAGCCTATGTATGTCTCTGCGTGTGAGATGGGTCTCCTGAATACAGCAGACTGATGGGTCTTGACTCTTTATCCAGTTTGCCAGTCTGTGTCTTTTAATTGGAGCATTTAGTCCATTTACATTTAAGGTTAAGATTGTTATGTGTGAACTTGATCCTGCCATTATATTAACTGGTTATTTTGCTCGTTAGTTGATGCAGTTTCTTCCTAGCCTCGATGGTCTTTACATTTTGGCATGTTTTTGCAATGGCTGGTACCAGTTGTTCCTTTCCATGTTTAGTGCTTCCTTCAGGGTCTCTTGTAAGGCAGGCCTAGTGGTGACAAAATCTCTAAGCATTTGCTTATCTGTAAAGGATTTTATTTTTCCTTCACTTATGAAACTTAGTTTGGCTGGATATGAAATTCTGGGTTTAAAATTCTTTTCTTTAAGAATGTTGAATATTGCCCCCCACTCTCTTCCGGCTTGTAGAGTTTCTGCCGAGAGATCTGCTGTTAGTCTGATGGGCTTCCCTTTGTGGGTAACCCGACCTTTCTCTCTGACTGCCCTTAAGATTTTTTCCTTCATTTCAACTTTGGTGAATCTGGCAATTATGTGTCTTGGAGTTGCTCTTCTCGAGGAGTATCTTTGTGGCGTTCTCTGTATTTCCTGGATTTGAATGTTGGCCTGCCCTACTAGGTTGGGGAAGTTCTCCTGGATGATATCCTGAAGAGTGTTTTCCAACTTGGTTCCATTTTCCCCCTCACTTTCAGGCACCCCAATCAGACGTAGATTTGGTCTTTTTACATAATCCCATACTTCTTGCAGGCTTTGTTCATTTCTTTTTCTTCTTTTTTCTTTTGGTTTCTCTTCTCGCTTCATTTCATTCATTTGATCCTCAATCGCAGATACTCTTTCTTCCAGTTGATCGAGTCGGTTACTGAAGCTTGTGCATTTGTCACGTATTTCTCGTGTCATGGTTTTCATCTCTTTCATTTCGTTTATGACCTTCTCTGCATTAATTACTCTAGCCATCAATTCTTCCACTTTTTTTTCAAGATTTTTAGTTTCTTTACGCTGGGTACGTAATTCCTCCTTTAGCTCTGAGAAATTTGATGGACTGAAGCCTTCTTCTCTCATCTCGTCAAAGTCATTCTCCGTCCAGCTTTGATCCGTTGCTGGCGATGAGCTGCGCTTCTTTGCCGGGGGAGATGCACTCTTATTTTTTGAATTTCCAGCTTTTCTGCCCTGCTTTTTCCCCATCTTTGTGGTTTTATCTGCCTCTGGTCTTTGATGATGGTGATGTACTGATGGGGTTTTGGTATAGGTGTCCTTCCTGTTTGATAGTTTTCCTTCTAACAGTCAGGACCCTCAGCTGTAGGTCTGCTGGAGATTGCTTGAGTTCCACTCCAGACCCTGTTTGCCTGGGTATCAGCAGCAGAGGCAGCAGAAGATAGAATATTTCTGAACAGCGAGTGTACCTGTCTGATTCTTGCTTTGGAAGCTTCCTCTCAGGGGTGTACTCCACCCTGTGAGGTGTGGGGTGTCAGACTGCCCCTAGTGGGGGATGTCTCCCAGTTTGGCTACTCAGGGGTCAGGGACCCACTTGAGCAGGGAGTCTGTCCCTTCTCAGATCTCAACCTCCGTGTTGGGAGATCCACTGCTCTCTTCAAAGCTGTCAGACAGAGTCGTTTGCGTCTGCAGAGGCTTCTGCTGTGTTTGTTATTGTTTACTGTGCCCTGTCCCCAGAGGTGGAGTCTACAGAGACAGGGAGGTTTCCTTGAGCTGCTGTGAGCTCCACCCAGTTCGAGCTTCCCAGCGGCTTTGTTTACCTACTTAAGCCTCAGCAATGGCGGGCGCCCCTCCCCCAGCCTCGCTGCTGCCTTGCCGGTAGATCACAGACTGCTGTGCTAGCAATGAGGGAGGCTCCGTGGGTGTGGGACCCTCCCGGCCAGGTGTGGGATATGATCTCCTGGTGTGCCTGTTTGCTTAAAGCGCTGTATTGGGGTGGGAGTTACCCGATTTTCCAGGTGTTGTGTGTCTCAGTTCCCCTGGCTAGGAAAAGGGATTCCCTTCCCCCTTGCGCTTCCCAGGTGAGGCAATGCCTCGCCCTGCTTCAGCTCTCGCTGGTCGGGCTGCAGCAGCTGACCAGCACCGATCGTCCGGCACTCCCCAGTGAGATGAACCCAGTACCTCAGTTGAAAATGCAGAAATCACCGGTCTTCTGTGTGGCTCGCGCTGGGAGTTGGAGACTGGAGCTGTTCCTATTCGGCCTTCTTGCTCCGCCCCTAATTAATAAAACTTTTAAAACCAGGACTTGAACTGGGTGAATTCAGAGGATAGAGGACAAGCTGGCACACATAGTAAAAAATGTAGAATGCAAGAAAAGGCCCAAGTGCTCCGAATGGATGGGGATAGCTTAAAGAAATTGTCACACAGAGTTTAGCTTGTAACTGGGAAAGTAACTTTTTCAAATGGCTTCATGAACCATGTCCTATATATAAGCAGAACAGAATATACCAACATGTCTAAACACACATGCCTGTTTGAGTCCTTTGATAACACTATTACTAGTTGTTTCCTCTACAAGGTTAGGTTGGATTTGGCCAGTTAATTGAAACTGAAGAAAACAAAATCTAAACAGATTACACGGGAGCTCAAATTTGAAGGAGGGATTCATTTAGGGAACATGCATTCAACTAGCCAATGTTAACATGCAGGACCACGTTAGACATATGAGAAATAATCCTACACAATTTTAAGTCCTGTCAGCTGTAGCTAAGGAGTTATGGTGAATACTATAAAGTTAGGTCAATCACCTATATATTGGGACTGACAGTTATTAAGGAGAGCTAATGTGTTGATCCAAGTGATATTTAAAAACCACAGTTAGATTAGTTTAGATGAGGTTGTAATTCCCATTTTCATCATGAATTTTATTTTACTTTGTCAAAGATGTAATAATACTGAATAGACTTTAAATTATTTAAAGCCTCATAATAATTTCACTGTTCATATCTCATTAATTACTTAACATTATAATGGTGGTCTACCTCATAAATAGAAATATAAAAATAGGCGACAATGATAGAATATAGCCCTTGCTTTTTGCTGTGATAAATTTGAAGAGATCACAATATTGAAGATATTTCAATACTTAACATGCAAAGAAAAGAAAAACTTGCAAAAATTAAATTCAGTCCTTTTTATATGATTAAAAGAATGATAATTTTGCAAAGCATTATAGAATCTTTTTCTCTCAGGTCTACATTTTTTTCTGGCATGTCTTTCAATTGTGCTAAAAGCAAATTCAGTACATCCTATGTTTTGTCATGTAGGGTATCATATTGTCTCCTTCATAGCATTGCTGTAAATACATGAGGAGAAGAAAAATTCAAGTAGCAAATAGGGCGTGTGTGTGTATGTGTGTGTGTGTGTGTGTGTGTGTGTGTGTGTATTTACCACAAAGTTAATATAAGTTTAAGTACTATAACTACTACAGAACTCTAATTCTCAAACTGGATTTTATATCAGAATAGTCTTAGAAATTGTCAAGATGTAGGTTTTGTGGCCCTACTTTTTTCCTACCAAATCAGAACATCACTGTTGCGGTGCCCATAAACCTATATTTGCAATACTCTCCATGGTGATTCTGATGTGCAGCTGGATTTGAGGACCACTGATAAGATATTCATATCAAATATTAAATGTGTGTACATAATTAGTATTGAAAATACATGTGATGTTTCTTTGAAATTGTAAAATATCTAAAATAATGGTTTTAGAAGTAACTCCATGCCCAACATCACCATGGTAAATGCTGCAAAGTATTAAATACCTAGCATAGTGCCTCTTAACAGCTCATCATGCTGGCTTGGGTCATGGGTGATAGTTAGCAAGAAAATTATCAAACGTGAACTGGATTATCAAATGAAAACTTGATGAACTCTTCTATACTGCAGGAAAAGGGGAAGAGTGACTTCAGGATAAAGAGCAAATGTCATCAGCTCAGCAGTAGCCCAAAGACCCCCTTCAGTGTTTTCCACATCCCTTCATGTAATTATGGTAATTATCATTGATTATGCTCAAAGTTTTTTCTAGATAGTCTTTTAAACATTTGCATAGATTATAATTACATAATTCTCACCAAAAATATTATATGTTATTAAATCCATATTACAATCTGGAAAACTGAGGGTTTCACAGAGACCTGTATTTTGTAACTACTAAGATAATACAGTAACTACAAAATACAGTTACTACAGATAATATAGTTTCTGTAAAAATACAGTAACTCTACAGGTAACAATGATAACAAAAGGTTGTCTTCAAAAACATAGATAACACAACTAACAGCAAAATAGCAGAGTTACTTTCCTCATTGCCAGAGTACAAGGACTCCTTCTCCCATACTTCTTCCCATGCCTCTGAAGTGCTTGGTTCAATGAAGGTTAGCCTACTTTACTTTGGGACCACATCGATCAGGTACTGCAGGGCCAGTGGGCAGCAGAGACCTTCTATTAAGTTTTCTTATGAGTCACTGGTGAAGCATAGGAGTTCCCTGCCTCTGGCACTCTATAGGAAAAAAAAAAAAGGAACAAAAGAAAACAGGCAGTTTGCCCCTGTCACATAGATTAATCAAGAAAGCCATAACCTTTGTATATTTAGTTTGTCTCTGATAAGGGGAAAAGGGCATTATGATAGATACAGACAGGAATCACTTCAATCATCTTTAAATGTCTTAGGACGTAAGGCAAGGGGCTTAACGCTTTCATTTAACACATGTATTCTTTTTCTCTTGAAGTTTCTGTAATTATTACCTGTGCTCCTTCTATCATGCTGTATTGTGAAAACTTCAGAGAAAAGAAGCGAGTTCTATAGATCAAAGAAAAAATTGACTGGAAAAAAAAAGGATTGTCTTTCTACTAAACACACACACATATTCTGTTGTTATGGCAACATAAGATCTAAGAATGGCACACCAAATAATATGGTACCAAGGCACATTATTATACTGTCATCAAATGTCACAATAAATGTGCTTCAGCTCCTGAATATAACATACAGTATTGTTTTCTGTTCTTCTCAGTACTTTCACTTGAGGTCAAAGCAACTTTTTTGAATGAAGACCAAATATCACCCATTGCCCTTCTTGTTAAATCTTTCTTGCATAAAGATATCCCACTAATTTCACTGAAAATATATTCAATAGATTAAAAATTGGGCTATTTCTTCTGTTTCCTAAGGGAACAACTGTTTATCCTTCAAAACCCATTACACTGTATCTATATAGCAATATGCTTAGCTGAGGAATTCATTTGTGTGTGTGTGTAGTGTATATATATGTGTGTGTGTGTGTATGTATAAATAACTTTTATTGACTAAAAATTGGCAACAAATATGTAGACAAAGTAAATCATACTGATTTAGATAAAACAGATTGGTTTAGTATATCTTCCCACATGCTTTTAATCTTTAAAAATATATTTATGTAAGAGAGCAGTGGTGGAAATTTTACCATTTTTTGGATGGTGCTGCAAATTATAGAGTTGCTTTATTCTTCATATTTTCTCTAATATCCTGATATGCATATGTATGTTAGTGTTCTATTATGGTATTGACTCACAACCGTACCATGTGACTTTGCCAATGGAAAGACAAAAAAATGAGGAAGGGCGGGTTACAAGTCAGCAGCATTTTTCTGCAGAACAATATGGAGAGATTGCAACAACAGTGAAAAGGTGAGTTATCTAGGAGGTTTTAGAAATGATAGGAAAAGATCACACATTTTAAACAAGCATGAAGTACTGAGAACTAACATGGGGAGGGTCTGAAATTGGCATTAGGGACTGTTTCCTCTTTCATGTAGGAGCAGAAGAGGAATAAAAAGGAAAGGCTAGGTTGAAGTAGAAAATGAGGTTTCAAAGATGTGTCCTTGGGTGTATGTCACCCTCATGCCTTACTGCCCTTCCACCCCTGATATTTCACTCTAATTCTGCACCTATATGTTTTTATTTTTAAACCAAGAAGTTGTCACCAAAATATAGAAAAATGCAGATGACCCCCAACTTACTATAATTTGACTCACGATTTTTTTGACTGCAATAGTGTGGAAGCAATATCCATTCATTAGAAACCATACTTGGAGTACCCATAGAACCATTCTGCTTTTCATTTTCAGCTCAATGTCCAATAAATTACAAGAGATATGCAACACTTTATTGTAAAATAGGCCCTGTGTTAGATTACTTTGCCCAACTGTGGGCTACAGTAAATGTTCTGAGCACTTTTAAGGTAGGCTATGCTAAGCTATGATGTTCAATAGGTTAGGGGCATTACATGTATTTTTAACTTAGGATCTTTTCAAGTTATGTTGTGTTTATCAGGACGCACCATCATCATAAGTCAAGGAGCTTCTGCAGATTTCTGAATTGTACCAGTCCATTTCCAGAGTATTCTACATTTATCGCTAGGAGCTCATTTCAACAGAAAAATAAATCCATAAAATTGCCGTTCAGTTAGTGTCAGCTAATTCTGCTGCTCTGTCCCTATTTATTTGAAAAATGTGCTATCCCACAACACAGTATATTTGTGAGTGAACTAAATTAAGGGTGATAATACTGAACCTACTAATTTAAAATATATTCTGGGGCTCTTAGCTTAGTCAAACATATTTAATGTTTGTCTTCTCAATATTATTCTCTCCAACTACCCATTTCAAGAAATAATTTAACACTGAGTGGACAGCTGTACACTGATAAAAGAGGTCTATTGTCCCCAAAGCATTTACTATCAGTTTACTCAGACTATCTTAAAATGCCAAAGAAAATGAAATTCCAACTCAGTAATTTAGCCATGTGCTAAATGTATTTTCTGATGAGATTGCTGCGTATTACTGAAGTCCAAATTAGAAAGTCGGTGAAAATTGATTGGGAAATCTAAGGACTGCATTAAAAAGACAAAGGCATTAATGGAAATAACATGGACTTCAGTGAATGTTTGAAACAACGTTTCAGAATTTTATTTTTATTTAGAAGTACAGGTTGTTGTGCAGCACCAAGTGTGTTCAAGCTACCTATAGAAATCTGGCAGGGGGACATGAAACCATCTTTGAAAACACCCACAAACATCTTTACAACTGTAGTTTATCTATCACTCATAAATACTTTGATGCAGGAAAGTTCCCAGGCACCCAGCTAGAGAGCGTGTTAAATTTTGAAGCATATTTATGGAACAGTTATGGGACTTGGGCTTAGCACCAGATGTCAAAATATCCATCAACTTTTGAAAGATTTTTCTCTCCTATGGAAAGACAAAGGAGGAAAAGGCAACACTCTTCTCAATTTTTCATTTTTAGGTTGTACTGGCACAGGTGTGCTGTTGTTCCCTGTGGTTTTACTGTTTAGCAATCATGTAGAACCTTAGATTTGAAAACACTCTCCCTCATTAATCATCAGTTCCTCACACTGTGATGTAGGCTCTACAGTGAGTTCCTCCTAACAGGGCTGAAAGGGAAGGTGAGGAGAGACAGCACCACACACACACACACATGCAAAAGTGTGCACAAGCACACACACAATTGATTTTGTAATTTCTAACATTCATTTATTGGCCTGTTCTATATATTCGATAAATGACTAAATACCATCAGAATTGACACTAATATATAATTACATGTAATTGTAAAAGGGGGTGATTACATTTATGGGTAATGTTCTTAGTTTATTTAGTTACATGAATACCATTGACTTATAGTAGAAGAAGAATTTTAAGAACATTTATTTGCTTCCACAATCATTGCTTGGAAATATTCATCCCATTGATGTTCAGATATCCCCCTGCTGTCTTTTATATTCATCTGCTTTCATTTTTCTTCTCATTCCGTTTTCTTTCCCTCTTTGTTGCTGGAAGTCAGGGACCCTGAACAGAGGGACTGGCTGAAGCCATGGCAGAAGAACATAAATTGTGAAGATTTCATGGACATTTATTAGTTCCCAAAAGTAATACTTTTATAATTTCTTACGCCTGTCTTTACTGCAATCTCTGAACATAAATTGTGAAGATTTCATGGACATTTATCACTTCCCCAATCAATACTCTTGTGATTTCCTATGCCTGTCTTTTCTTTAATCTCTTAATCCCGTCATCGTCGTAAGCTGAGGATGAATGTCACCTCAGGACCCTGTGATGATTGCGGTAACTGCACAAATTGTTTAAACAATATGAAATCTGGGTACCTTGAAAAAAGATCAGTATAACAGCGATGTTCAGGGAACAAGGGAGATAACCATTAGGTCTGGCTGCCTGAGAGCTGGGTGGAACAGAGCCATATTTCTCTTCTTTCAAAAGTAAATAGGAGAAATATTGCTGAATTCTTTTTCTCAGCAAGGAACATCCCTGAGAAAGAGAATGTGTTCCCAAGGGGAGGTCTCTAAAATGGCCTCTTTCGGAACGTCTGTCTTTTACAGTTATAGATAAGGGATGAAATAAGCCCTGGTCCCCTGTAGTGCTCCCAGGCTTATTAGGGCAAGGAAATTCCCACCTAATAAATTTTGGTTAGACCAGTTGTCTGCTCTCAAACCCTGTCTCCTGATAATGTGTTATCAATGACAATGCGTGCCTGAAACTTCATTAGCAATCTTAATTTCGCCCCAGTCCTGTGATCTTGCCCTGCCTCCACTTGCCTTGTGATATTTTATTGCCTTGTGAAACATGTGATCTCTGTGACCCACACCCTATTTGTACACCCCTCCCTTTTGAAAATCACTAATAAAAACTTGCTGGTTTTGCAGCTTGTGGGCATCACGGAAACTGCCGACATGTGATGTCTCCCCTGGACACCCAGCTTTAAAATTTCTCTCTTTTGTACTCTTTCCCTTTATTTCTCAGACCAGCGAACACTTAGGGAAATAGAAAAGAACCTACATGAAATAATGTTGAATTATCAGGGGCTGGTTTCCCCCAAAACCTCTTAAAATGACTTACTGTATACTGGGCCTTCTCACTTTCATTCTTCCTCTTTTAGTCTGTCTCCTCTGTGTGTTTCTCTTGCATTCCAATATTTTCACTCTTTTCTAACCATCTTTTCTACTTTCTGTACCATTCAGTGACATTACCTCTTGCCTATCACTTTTTTATTGCATTTATATTTATCTTTATCCTCTCATCTTTTTTACTCAGATATTTTTCTCCCTTCTGTGATAAATTTCTGTTTCTCCTATAATGGACATTTTTCCTTTCCTCTTATGTAAATGTTTCCCTTTCTTTTTTTCCCCATGATTAATATTTTCATCTCCCACATTTTTCTCAAATGCTAATTTCGCTTTTACTTCCTTTGTTTTCTCGTCCATTTGCCTTACCTTTATTGTTCTTTTTCTCTATTCTTATGAGAAAATATCCTCTTTATCATCATTTCTTGCGTTTTCATTCATTGACTCTACACTATAGTCCCCTTCATAGATATTGCAGGTGGCACTACTAATTTCTCAGTCCTTAAAAGGTCGTTTTCCTTAAGTGTCCTAGGGTTGATTTTATATGTCATCGTAAGTCCTGCCTTATTGGTCTGCTCTATTTGTTGAATAAATTATTAACTCTAGTGAGAATTAACACTAATAAGTAATTACCTGTAATTATAAAAGGGTGATAATCATTTTGAGAGTTCGGATCCTTGGTTTATTTGATTGCATAAATACCTATTAACTCCAGTAAAATAAAATCATTGATATTGATTTAAAGGTAACCAAAGGTATTACCCTACCTTTGAGACTCTATAGTAGATTGAAATGACTAAATACTTATATATTTTCTTATCTTTAAATAGAGGTTAATTAAATTTGATCACAATTTTTTCTTTACCACACTGCCTTTATTTCGCCAACAAAAAAATAACGTGCAATAATTCAGAAATAAACTTGGCAATACAATACATGCAGAAACATGCACAGGTACACACATTTAAACAT